GCCGAGTGCGCAAATTTTTGTGCACCGGGCCTCTAGTCTATACTAATAAAAGGGTAATATGCTAATTAGACAGGGAGACTTTCTGGGAGGCCTTCCGGATGTCCTTCTGGACAAAGCCATGGTGGCGGGGCCGAGGCAGAGGTGGTTAGAGGCGATCAGGCTGGCGGGCGGGGGCAGTTGAGGGTGAGCAGACTGGCAGGGGGGACAGTTTGGGGCAAGCAGGCCGGCAGGGGGGCAGTTAGGGGTGATCAGGCCGGCAGGGGGAGAGGTTGGGGGTGATTAGACTGGCAGGGGGGGCAGTTGGGGGCGATCAGGCTGGCAAGCAGAGTGGTTAGGGGCGATTAGGCAGGCAGGCAGGTGAGGGGTTAGGAGCCAGCGGTCCCGAATTGCGAAAGGGATGTCTGACTGCTGGTTAAACCGGCAGTCGGATATCCCCCGAGGGGTCCCAGATTGGAGAAGGGGCAGGCTGGGCTGAGGGACACCCCACACCCTGTGCATGAATTTCATTTAATTACAATGTGGCTTAAGATTTTATAGAACCAACTCCCTCTAGACACTTTCCATCCCCAAAAGTTTACTTGATAATCTTACCCCTATCTTTTCCACATAAATTTTATAATTTCTATGAGATATCTTATTGAGATAAATTGGTATTGTATTAAATCTATAAATCAATCTAGGAGGCCCTGTAATATTTGCTGTCTTAAATCTACCAGCCCAGAAAGAGATCTGAGTTTTCCTTATTCAAGTTGTTGTTTAGTTCTGCCATTAAAGTTTTGTAATTCCAGGTATATAGATCTCTTCTCACTTCCACTAAATATTTGATTTTTATCATTGTTTATGAAAAATACATTCTGTTTTTTCAATGCATGTTTTATTTTTTTAAATAAGACATTAACAGAATTATTTTTTGTAAGTTTATTTTATACCTATGACATTCTTAAACTTTTTTTACAAACTAATATTTTTAATGAATCTCAAATTTTCTAAATGTGAATTTCCATTTGCAAAGAGTGATTTTTAAAATCTTATATTTATTCTTTGATTTCTTTGCCCTACTATACTTCCTCTTAAATTATATTTTATAGAAATGTTAATGGGAACATAATTTAAGAACAGTTGCAAAATTTCTTTATTAAAATAATGTCTCTGATTTGGAGTAATTGTTCTTTACTGTGCTAAAGAAAAATTCTTCTATATTTTGTGAGTCTTTATCAAGAGCATCAAAATCTCTCAAATGCATTTAAAGTGTCATGACTTTTCTGCTATTTGAAATTCAAATAATGACTTCTATTGACAGTTTCCTTAATTTGGTATTATTTGCTATATTTTGCTTCTTAAGGGCCAATGAATTTAGCATTTATCGCCACAGGTAGGATTAATCTAGAATTTTTTTTCTTGTGCTGTCTGCCAGGCTTTACAATCCAAATTATTTGTTTCATAAAATTAGGAAAATAAAACATATTTTTTTCTATATTTAAAAGATTACAAACATCTGCTAGATGATTTTTAGTGTCCAAAAACTGTCAGAACTATGTCCTTTTCTTTTATGGGAGCTCTTTGATAAAAACTTTCTGTTTTCAAGTTTTGATTGTGCCAGTTTTGCCTCTTTGTGTTTTTGTTAAAGTCATCTATTTAATTTAGGGTTTCCAAGCTATTAAAGCAAAGTTGTATATAATCTTTCTCAATAACAATTGACTAATCTTCCTATTAGCTGATGTGACACCTTTCAAGTTTCCAATTTTGCCCTTTAAATGAAAAAAGTTGTACGGTGGTTTGCCCTTTTTTTGTTGTTTATTCTTTTTGAAGAATCAACCACAGTTTCTATCACTTTAAATTACTTAAAATTTGTATTGTTTATTACTTTTTTTAGTTTTGTTTTCCTGTTTCCCCCTGTTCCTTTTTACATTAAAAAAAACCTTATGAGCCCCGCTGGCATGCCTCAGTGGTTGAGTGCTGACCTATAAACCAGAAGGTCATGGTTCAATTCCTGGTCAGGGCACATGCCCAGGTTGTGGGCTTGATCCCCAGCATGGGGCGTGCAGGAGGCAGCTGATCAATGATTCTCTGTCATCATTGATGTTTCTCTCCCTCTCCCTTCCTCTCTGAAATCAATAAAAATATATTTTATAAAAATAAAAAGAATTTAGACATGATTCATTGCATCCCTTGTTTTCATTATTGCTAATATAAATATTTAGATCCAAATTTTCCTCTGGTTTCTTTTTAGGCATTACTCCAGAATGACCGGATTAACTTTAGTCTTTATAATACTGTAGTGCTCTCTCCCATTCATCTTGCAATTGGATATTAAAGTTATGAAAATAGTTTTTTTCAGATTATTAAGTTATTAGTTGGAAATGTAGAAAAGTGTGAGGGAAATGTGGAGGAGAAAAGATAGAGAAGTATAAAGATAAAAGAAAGCTCACCCATCATCACTCTAGAAATCCAGGCCCCCTAACTCCCAAAGGTGGACGCTGCCATTCTTGTTTATTTTCTTCAGCACACACAGTGACACCGGGCAGGCAGCCCAGAATGGAAATAAAATTTAGATGAGATTGAACCAAAATCGGGTAATTAAGAGTTGACGATGTCATCATTCGATTATATTGTATCTATGCCCAAGACTCCAGCAACAAACGCCCGAGTTGCAGGGATCTTAAAGCGTCCACTCATTTACTTTACCTCCCATCTCAGCACCCCCGGGACCTCCCTGCCTCACGCACCTGGATTCTCCAGCCTTGAGAGTCGTGCTTATTTCCGAGGTCCTATCATTCTTCTCTTCGCAGGCATCTGGCTCACTCTCTACTGGCGTCAAGGTCGTTTGGAAACATCTTTCACCTTCGAAAGTCAGTGTTACGTTTGAGATGGTGACGTGTTTTGAGAATTCTTTGAGCTCAATCTTACTCTTTGTATCTCGTAGACACCCAGGCTTCAGACATTTTTCCAGTTTTTCCTTTGAAAATAATAAGCAGCAGCAAATCAGGTAACAGGAGAGCATCATCGAGAAGTAGATGACTTATGGAGCCATATCTAAAACAGCAATCATTTCATTCAGACTTACTCGATGCACAGGCGCAGTGAGGAGGGACTGACGCTTGCTGTCGCATGGCCGGTGGGGAGGCCAGGTGGGTGTTGGGGGCTGGCAGTGTGGGGACTCAACGCAGCACATTGAAAAGCGCATGTGGTCATATACTGAAGTCACCTCTAAATGACAGTACTTCCTCTCCCCGAATTGTCAGGGAAAGGAAGGTTTTCTAGAAAGGCCTTGCTAGGTACTCCCCAATCTGAGGCTGTCCTTGGTTTAAGAGCATCTAATAGGTGAGAAACTACCTAAACCTTAATACCCTAAAATCCTCCCGTTCTAATTTCCTGGTTTCTGTTAATGCAGCACCTCTCTGAGTGGCTCGCTGCCTTCCTGGGACTCAAAGGCTCAGAGCAATGGGCTGGCAGGTTCTGAATACTGTGTCTCTCTAGCATCGCCTGCGTCTGCACCAACTAGTCCATCACCTCTGTTACCTTTCCTGGAAAGTGATTTTCCTCCTAAAAACTTCATTTTAAGTCTGACAATGAAAGAAATACATATTTATTATAGAATAATTTAAAAAATACTATCCTATATAACAAAAGGCTAATATGCAAATTGTCCCCTGGACCAGGAGTTCAAGCAGGAGTTCAATCAGGTGGCAGGGCTGGCAGCCAACTGCCCGCGGCCCCTCTCCCCAGCTGGCCCAGCCCCATCGGTCCCTATCAGGGAGGGCCGGCCAGACCCCACCTGTGCATGAATTTGTGCACCAGGCCTCTAGTAATATTTAAAGTGAAAGGAAGAAAATTATTGCCAGTCTGATGCCACTGGATAGAAATAACCACTCCTCTGGCACATTTCACTTGGTCCCTGTGCCCATTTATTTACTTTGTATGTGTCTGTTCTGTGACCATATTTCTGTTTCATATGCTACATTTTTCACTTAATGATTTATTATAAACGTTTTCCTTATATCATTAAAACTTGAATTCTTCTAATTAAAAATGAATCCTTTTGTTGTAGGAAACAGTAAACTCAGAAAAGTGTGAAGAAAACATGAATTGCTTATAATCCCCCAATCCAAAAATAAACTATTAATAATATGACTTTCCCCCTTCTATTGTCTCTGTACCGTATGGATCACATTCTTCATTTTTTACTCAACTTTATATCATGAAGATTTCTCCAAGTAAAGAATAATTCTTCAACAATTTTAATAGCTACAGAGTATTCATTCATTTAACAAATATTTACTAAGTGTCTATGAACTTGCCAGATACATACTACAGTCATTCCTGAATTAGAACAATATGGGGCCTGCCCTGCATGGATTTAAATGGATTTAGCCATTTTCCCTGTAGTGGACATTTAGGTTACTTCCATATTTTCATTTTTAGAAACATGGTATGAATGTGGAATGATTAGCATCTTTATAGCTAAATCATCATTCCTATTTCTGTTTAATTCCTTTAGAAAGTTTCCTAGAAGTGGAATCACTGAGTCAGAGGATATATTTTAAGGTTTGTAGCAATTTTCTTTTCTTTTCTTTTTTTTTTAAGAAAATATATTTTATTGATTTTTTTACAGAGAGGAAGGGAGAGGGATAGAGAGTTAGAAACATCGATGAGAGAGAAACATCGACCAGCTGCCTCCTGCATACTCCCTACTGGGGATGTGCCCGCAACCAAGGTACATGCCCTTGACCGAAATCGAACCCGGGACCCTTCAGTCCACAGGCTGATGCTCTATCCACTGAGCCAAACCGGTTAGGGCAGTTTGTAGCAATTTTCATCCCTACAATAAATATATGTGAATTCCATATTACCACAGCTTCACTAACATGGACTACTTTTATTCTTTTAAGTAACAGTTTTACAGGTTAGATTCTTTCTAAATTTGAATTTATTTGATTATGAATGAGGTTAAACTTTTCCATTGTATTTACTGGAAGTTTCTTCTTCTGTGAAACTTCTTCCTTGCCCTTTGCCATTTTTTTTTTTTAAATTGTGGGCCCCCTGGGCTTTTCTGCAGTAGTCTTCAAATTGATTTCTTTACCTACAATCCATTCTGCCATCAAATTAATCTTTTAAAAACACAGCTCCTTGTCCTGGCCAGGTGGCTCAGTTGGTTGGGGAGTCGTCCCGTACACCAGAAGGTTGCAGGTTACATCCCCAGTTGGGGTACATGCAGGAGACAACTGATGGATGTTTCTCTCTCACATCAATGTTTCTCTCTCTCCCTTTCTCTCTCCAAAAATCAATTAAAAAAACAAACAAGATCTCAGTCTTAAACACACACACACACACACACACACACACACACACACACACACACACCACAGCTCCTTCACACCCTTACAGAAAGGGCTATTGTGGCTAAGGTATGCCCAAAGACCGAAATCCACACTTCTTATTTTGGCATTCAAGGTTTGCAAGCAACCTTTCAATTCTGTATCCTATTATTCTCCACATATATTAAGCTCCAGCCGAACAGGACTAACCATTCTTGGATATGGCTCTGCGTTTTTCTACTTTCTGGCCTTTTCTATAGCCACTCACTTCTTTTGGTATTTTAATTTCTAACCTCACTTTTCCCTACTGAAGTTTCATCCCATCCTTCAATGTATTGTATCCTTTTATATACATTTAAACCTTAAAATAGCCCTTACATGATATTAATATCCTCATCCTAGAGATGAGGAGACTGAAGCTCATGCAGGTTCAGTGACTTGGCCAAACCACGCTGCAGCAGGGCAAGATTCCAAGCCAGGTCTCGGACTCTGATCCCAAAGTTCTTCCCATCCCACCATAGCTTTCTGACATTGGGGTGTGTTTGGTGGTAAGGATGGTCACAACCTATTTCAAGAGACACCTGACAACTCCTTTACACCAAGGATCAGATCTCATTATTAAAATGAGAGCAAGTTCCATGGCACTTTGATAATCACCATCAGGGAACTAACCAAGAAGAGCCATCTTGGTGATCACCCTTGTTCTGATGATTAAAGAATGGAAGTCTTCCATGTCACATACCTTTTCCTCCTGCTTGGCCCTTAGTATGTCATCATTTTCAAATACCACTCTGACCCCCGAGCTGTTTGTGCCATCATGGAGGTCTGTGACTTCTGTGACTTCTGTGAAAATGTTTACATCTGGGGCCTCAGTGACCTCCTGCTCTGGAACATCCGTGACATCCGTGACGTCGGTGATGACTGTTAATTCTGAGAAATCAGTGCTCTCCAGGCCGTACACATGGTCTGAATACATGTACGGATGGGAAGTCTGTACAGCGGTGAATTCTGCGATATCCATGATGTCCATCGAGCCCGTGATGTCTGTGCTATTTGTGAGTTCCGAGAGGCTCGAGACTTCCGACACTCTGGAAACTTTGGCTTTCTCCTGGTTCAAGAGGGCGATGAGCTCTACCCACTGAGAAAACAAGGCCTCCTGTTTGCGTGCGGGGGCACAGAGCTGGAGGTAGTAGGCTCGACCACTTGCCAGCTTCACTTTGAGGCGCATTTTCTCAGCATCGTGCACAGACAGAGCCACAAACTGCAGAGGGAGAAACCTGCAAACAGACACAGAGGTCACCTGGAGGCCAGATCGGAGGCCTCTCAGAAGGCCTTTCCTGTTACGTTTTATAGCAGTTTGTAGAGTGAGACTTAGGACAGCAATGGCGAACCTTTTGAGCTCGGCGTGTCAGCATTTTGAAAAACCCTAACTTAACTCTGGTGCGATGTCACACATAGGAATTTTTGGTATTTGCAACCATAGTAAAACAAAGACTTATATTTTTGATATTTATTTTATATATTTAAATGCCATTTAACAAAGAAAAATCAACCAAAAAAAATGAGTTCGCGTGTCACCTCTGACACACGTGTCATAGGTTCGCCATCACTGGACTTAGGACAACAGGCTGGTCTCCCACACAGGCCTGGGTAGGGGCAGGCAGGGACCTGGCAGTGCCTTCCCGTGGCCACCAGGTCCCCAGGCTGGTCCTTAGTTTAGGAGGCTCAGAATGTTCATTTTCAGTACATGTAATCAGGCTGCTGGGGGTCATCCCAGCTGGGTCACACTTCTAAGACTCTGACGTACTACAAAAACCAGAGAACCCACATTTACCACGAGAAACTGTCCTGTGTCATCCTGCAGAGTTGGGACTTAGAGAAGGTGGGTGATTGGCTCTGGGCCGCACAGCAGGTTGGTGGCTTGAGACACAACCAGAGCTAACTACTTCTGGTAGCAGTTAGGATGTTGGGGGGAGAGGGGCATGTTCTACAGAGGCAGTTTGAATTTTCAGTTCCAGTTAATTAAGTTCAATTGAAATAAAAGTTTACCTCTTGTATGACTGCCACGTTGGCATAAGCCATGTCCCAGTTTTGAGGGTGTGGCTCTCATTTGCAGCAAGGAGCACAAGTGAGAGTCTCCCTCAGAGCAATTGTCATCATTGTGTCCATTTTCAGCTCCTCGGGGGCAAAGCCCATTTTCTGAAACATCCTTCACCTCTTCCCTTTGTAACTCACCTGGTGAGCACCAGTTTCTCTGGAGAAGATCTCAGGAGACTCTTAAACAGGGGTTCTCTGTCCTTCTGGGCCATGGGTGTGAGATGTGCTAGCAGCATCACGTTGGGGGTCTTGTGGGTGTGGCTGGAAGAGCAGATGGCAACAGCCACCCAGTTGGCTCGGTTATGAAGGTAAATGGATTCACCTCTTCTATTGACCTAAGGCAGAGAACAGGAAGAGGGGTTTTCTGATGAGGTGCATGGTCCCGACTACCTTGCTTACCTGTAGGAAACAGGAACAATGAACCATGTGATGCATGTGTTCACTCACTCGCTCCTGTGACTTCTTGGAGCTCTCCCAGTAAAAAGGCAGACATGGCTCCTGACTGTTGAGGTCTACCAGGGAAGTGAACACTGAACAACTATGCCACTCATTATTATTATTATTATTATTATTATTATTATTATTATTTAATCCTCATCTGAGGGTATGTTTATTATTTGTTTGTTTGTGTGTTTAGAGAGAGAGGGGAAGGGAGAAAGAAAGAATAGGAATAATGAGTTTTGAGTATTTTTGCTTTTGTTTTGAATGTAATGTAATTGGAAAAATTTATAGGATTTAATTTTTAATAATGGCTGTGTTTAACAACCACTGGCAAACTTCCTAAACACTCACCAATTGGCCAGTCCCAGACACCTTGGCCATAGGGTCAGAGAAGTCTCCCTGAGAAAGGGACCTCACTGAGACCTGAACAATGTGGCAGATAAACTGGCTGTGTGGACAGAACTTTTAAGCTGAGGAATTGCATGTGCAAAACCCCAAGTCCTAAAAAGTTTGGCCAGTAAAATCTTTGCAGTTGGAAGAGGAGGAGACTGGCAAGTGGGTGGACAAGGATGTGAAAGAAGCCAGAGAAGTTCCAAGCAAACTTGGTTTCTCAGCTGTATAATAACTGGCTCAAAAAATAAATCACTTAAAAACAAATATACTCTAAAAGACATCAGAACCCACACTATTGATTACTTACCCAACACCATGCTCCTTTTCCGCCTGATGAGCAGAATTCTGGTTTTGTCCAGTACCCACCCCTCAGAGATGGTGTCCCAACTCAGGGGTTAAATTATGATTGACTTAGCCCAGCAGGTGTGGCTCAATACTTGAGTATTAAAGTCACCAGTTCAATTCCTGGTCAGGCCACATGCCCGGGTTGTGGGCTCAATCCCCAGTGGGAGGCATGCAGAAGGCAGCTGATCAATGATTCCCTCTCTCATCAATGTTTCTATCTCTCTCTCCCCCTTCCTCTCTCTAAAGTCAATAAAAAATATTTAAAAATTACGATAAACCAGTCATGCTGACCCATCCCCTTGCAAGCAATTGCTTTTAGCAGCAGCATGTGACCCAGGCCTGGCCAATGAGACACTAGTGGGGGCCTCTTGGTGGCCCTGGGAAAGGATTCCGAGTCCTCACAGAGTTGTAAGGATGAGAGGCATCTCTTTTGTTGCTGGCAGTCACTGTCCTGTTTGCATGTGATGCTCGAGGGGAGCTAACTTGAGGGTGACAGAGCAAAAGGAGGGAGCCTGGGTCCTTGACTCCCGGTGGGCGAGCTGATGCCCTGAGGTTCTGGCACTCTGTTTGAGATCATTGTTATTCTTTTTCATTTAAACTTGTTGACTCAGGAACCTTAGTAGCTTGCTGCATGTTGAAGGGAATAACCTTATCCAATTATGATATGGGGCCCTGGATGGTCTGTAGAATGCTAACTGGCCTCTACCCCCGTGTTCATGAGAGCATGCAAAGGTTATTTGAAAAGTGTGCAGGAAGAAATGTGGGAAAAAAAGAATAGTAAGTACGAAGCACATGGAAAATAAAGTACGTACAATTATGACTTATTACACGTGTTCTGGGCAACACTGAAGCATCAGTGTTCTTTGAGGCATCACTTCCTGCCTACGGTTCTGGAGGAGAGGAGGTCTCCCGGGCTCCCAGGGGTCAGTGCAGAGAACGTGTTTAAGGAAGATGAAGAAGTAAGTATCTGTGGTCATCTCTGTGGCATCAGCTGAGGAGCTGTTTGAATGGATGCGTTTCATGTTAGACTTGGTTGTGGCATTTCAGTGAAGTTTAGAGGTACAGCCTACACCATTGAACTCATTTCCCTATTTCTTTGTCTGAATATATATATTTTTAAATATGTTTTAATTGACTTCTGAGAGGGGAATGGAGAGGAAGAGAGGGATAGAAACATTAATGATGAGAGAGAATCATTGATTGGCTGCCTCCTGAAAGCCCCCTGTTGGGGATTAAGCCCGAAACCTGGGCATGTGTCCTGACTGGGAATTGAACCCTGACCTCCTGGTTCATAGGTTGACTTTTAACCACTGAACAATACTAGCCAGGTTTGTTTGAATATTTTAATGTTGAATGTTCAAAGGAAAGTTAGAACTGCTGCCAAATGCATTGAAATATAGTTTCATTCATAATGTAGGTACATTTTTATGAAAGGAATTTTTTCTCCCTGACATAATTTGACAATTGTATTTCACCTTCAGAACTAAAATCCAAAATTCACTTTAAATCCCAGTTGTGTCATAGATGTTATTCTTTAAAATGTCTTCTAAATCTAAGAAAGGAATTATCAGAATGCTTTCCTGTGGCAGGATATCCTAAAAATGACTACCGTCTCTTCATGTAATTTTGAGCAGATTATGATAGAAAATTATGGTAGAGTTAGGACAGAATTCCTAGGTTAGAGTTGGGAAAATTTAAAATGAATTTTTGCTTAACATTATAATTATTTTCAGTTGTCTAAAGTTCCAAAACCGTTCCCTGTAACTGTGTCACACATTCCACTGCCACATTTAAAACAATTCTCCTCCCAACCTTTTCAGTCATCTTTGAGTAAGTTAATGACTGAAATTATTGTAACATAATTCAGGGCTCGAACTTTTACCTGGATAAAATTGCCCTCTAACATGGGAGGAGATACAAAAGGGGCATACTCTCCTCCATCCAACGTATTTTTGAGATCTCCTGGACCGTGCGAGGGTGGGATGCAGATGGCCTCTCGCTCACTGATCCTCATGGTAAGCTTCCTGTTGCTCTTCTTCATTGTGCTTACACACAAACACCAGGCAATCGACAAAGTGGACAGACAATGAACAGATGCAGAGAAAATTTAACATAACACGTAAGTAGCTTCACTTATTCATTCATTCAACAAATTTCATCAACATCTATGGTATGCTAGGCGACGTGCTGAGCACTGGAGATACATCTGAGAGGCCTGATAAGATCCCTCCCCTCAGGCAGCTTGTAGGCTATGGGGAAACAGAGGAAGCAAGTTCAAAATCAGATGTGGCTCTGGCCAGGGAGCTTCGTTTGTTAGAGCGTCGTCCCCATGAGCCAAGGTTGCCGTTTTGATTCCTGGTCAGGGCACATACAAGAAGCAACCAATGAATGCACGAGTGAGTGGAAGAACTAATCGGTATTTCTCTCTCTCTTTAAAAAAATGAAGATGTTGGATGATAAAGGCCACAGAGACTGTAGAACAGAGATACCTGGAATATGAAGTTCCTGGGGTATAGGGCTGGCAACACTAATTAATTAGGCTGGTTAGGAAAGGCCTCTCGAGGAGGCCTCAAACACATGCCCCATGTCCCCTAAACCATTCTTTTCTGTCTTCTTAATTAATGTACCACTACTCTTTCCATCATTCGGAGTC